ACACAGAATTGTTACTCAGGGACACAGAACTGTTACTCAGGGACACAGAATTGTTACTCAGGGACACAGAACTGTTACTCAGGGACACAGAATTGTTACTCAGGGACAGACACAGAATTGTTACTGAGGGACACAGAATTGTTACTGAGGGACACAGAATTGTTACTGAGGGACAGACACAGAATTGTTACTGAGGGACACAGAATTGTTACTGAGGGACACAGAATTGTTACTGAGGGACACAGAATTGTTACTCAGGGACACAGAATTGTTACTCAGGGACACAGAACTGTTACTCAGGGACACAGAATTGTTACTCAGGGACACAGAATGTTACTCAGGGACACAGAATTGTTACTCAGGGACAGACACAGAATTGTTACTGAGGGACACAGAATTGTTACTGAGGGACACAGAATTGTTACTGAGGGACACAGAATTGTTACTCAGGGACAGACACAGAATTGTTACTGAGGGACACAGAATTGTTACTCAGGGACACAGAAATTGTGTTACTCAGGGACACAGAATTGTTACTCAGGGACACAGAATTGTTACTCAGGGACACAGAACTGTTACTCAGGGACACAGAATTGTTACTCAGGGACACAGAACTGTTACTCAGGGACACAGAATTGTTACTCAGGGACAGACACAGAATTGTTACTGAGGGACACAGAATTGTTACTGAGGGACACAGAATTGTTACTCAGGGACAGACACAGAATTGTTACTGGAGGGACACAGAATTGTTACTGAGGGACACAGAATTGTTACTGAGGGACACAGAATTGTTACTCAGGGACACAGAATTGTTACTCAGGGACACAGAACTGTTACTCAGGGACACAGAATTGTTACTCAGGGACACAGAACTGTTACTCAGGGACACAGAATTGTTACTCAGGGACAGACAGAATTGTTACTCAGGGACAGACACAGAATTGTTACTGAGGGACACAGAATTGTTACTGAGGGACACAGAATTGTTACTCAGGGACACAGAAATTGTTACTCAGGGACACAGAATTGTTACTCAGGGACACAGAATGTTACTCAGGGACACAGAATTGTTACTCAGGGACAGACACAGAATTGTTACTGAGGGACACAGAATTGTTACTGAGGGACACAGAATTGTTACTGAGGGACAGACACAGAATTGTTACTGAGGGACACAGAATTGTTACTGAGGGACACAGAATTGTTACTGAGGGACACAGAATTGTTGTTACTGAGGGACACAGAATTGTTACTGAGGGACACAGAATTGTTACTGAGGGACACAAAATTGTTACTCTGGGGACACACAGAATTGTTACTGAGGGACACAGAATTGTTACTGAGGGACACAGAAGAATGTTACTCAGGGACAGACACAGAATTGTTACTCAGGGACACAGAATCGTTACTCAGGGACACAGAATCGTTGAATTAAAGAGTATGTCAGACAACACGCAGAGGAGTGGCAGAGGAGGCAATGTTTCAGGAGCGAGCAGACGTGGCAGCAGAGGAAGGGGTCGAGGCAGCACTAGTCGCAGCCAGAGGCCAGTGCTCCCGGTGTCATCCAGCGGTCGTGTCTCCACCGACAACCCTGCCGTCATCGATTGGTTGGCTCGGTCGTCTTCCTCTTCCCAGGTCACCTCTGACACCTACAGCCAACGGTCGGTGGGTACGTCAGACACAACCGTTAGTTGGCATGGCCCGGGAGCAAGCCCACTGAAATCACGTGTCCTCTACCTGCCCCTGTCCTTTGGTGTTCCCTCACCAAGCGAAGTATCGCATGCTGTGGGCTCAGCCCCACTGTACAGTGAGGAAGAGCTAACAGAGGGCGGTCAGGAACGGGGGGAGACATCCGCCTCTTCAGCAGCAGGCGAAGAAGTACTGGCGAGGAGAGTGGCTCGGTAGCCGGTCTAGAGACAGGTCTGTTTCCTGACCCACACGCAGCCGAGGGGGCTAGTAGTGAGGCGGAGACCCTAATTGATGATGATGAGGCTGATCGCACTTGGCAGCCTCGTCGTCATCAGGCTATTGCTTCCGCATCATCAGGAGAAGAGGGTGCCAGCTTGGCAGCGAGCAAAACAGTCGGTGGGTTGCCCAGGAGGCAGCAGGGTCGCAGCAGTGTCAGTGGAGGCAAACGGCCACGGAGTAGAGCACCAGCTCCACTGCAGCCTACCACCACGGCCAGTAGTGGTGCCGGTGTGCACGGAGGAAGTAGCAGTCAGCCAGTGAGGAGTAGCGGGGGCAAAGTTTCCTACTCGGCGGTGTGGCAATTTTTCGTCAAGCCGCCCGAGGAAGTAAACGTAGCCGTATGTCGACTATGTGGCCAGAAAGTCAAGCGTGGCCAGGGGGCCCCATGTCTCCATCGCCACACTCTGCCATGTGCCACTTTCAGGTCTCCTCACACTGCTGGTGGGTTCCATTTTGTCATAGGGTGCTGGCAGATTACGGGCCTCCCATTGCTGCTGCCAGGCCCGTAATCTGCCATGGGCCCCTGTACCGCCTCCTCATGCTGCTGGCCAGGCCCGTAATCTGTCATGGGTCCCTGTACGGCCTCCCATTGCTGCTGTCTCCATCGCCACACTCTGCCATGTGCCACTTTCAGGTCTCCTCACACTGCTGGTGGGTTCCATTTTGTCATAGGGTGCTGGCAGATTACGGGCCTCCCATTGCTGCTGCCAGGCCCGTAATCTGCCATGGGCCCCCGTACCGCCTCCTCATGCTGCTGCCAGGTCCAGAGTGTCTCATGGGTCCCTGTACGGCCTCCCATTGCTGCTGTCTCCATCGCCACACTCTGCCATGTGCCACTTTCAGGTCTCCTCACACTGCTGGTGGGTTCCATTTTGTCATAGGGTGCTGGCAGATTACGGGCCTCCCATTGCTGCTGCCAGGCCCGTAATCTGCCATGGGCCCCTGTACCGCCTCCTCATGCTGCTGCCAGGTCCCGTAATCTGTCATGGGTCCCTGTACGGCCTCCCATTGCTGCTGTCTCCATCGCCACACTCTGCCATGTGCCACTTTCAGGTCTCCTCACACTGCTGGTGGGTTCCATTTTGTCATAGGGTGCTGGCAGATTACGGGCCTCCCATTGCTGCTGCCAGGCCCGTAATCTGCCATGGGCCCCTGTACCGCCTCCTCATGCTGCTGCCAGGTCCAGAGTGTGTCATGGGTCCCTGTACGGCCTCCCATTGCTGCTGTCTCCATCGCCACACTCTGCCATGTGCCACTTTCAGGTCTCCTCACACTGCTGGTGGGTTCCATTTTGTCATAGGGTGCTGGCAGATTACGGGCCTCCCATTGCTGCTGCCAGGCCCGTAATCTGCCATGGGCCCCTGTACCGCCTCCTCATGCTGCTGCCAGGTCCAGAGTGTGTCATGGGTCCCTGTACGGCCTCCCATTGCTGCTGTCTCCATCGCCACACTCTGCCATGTGCCACTTTCAGGTCTCCTCACACTGCTGGTGGGTTCCATTTTGTCATAGGGTGCTGGCAGATTACGGGCCTCCCATTGCTGCTGCCAGGCCCGTAATCTGCCATGGGCCCCTGTACCGCCTCCTCATGCTGCTGCAGGCCCGTAATCTGTCATGGGTCCCTGTACGGCCTCCCATTGCTGCTGTCTCCATCGCCACACTCTGCCATGTGCCACTTTCAGGTCTCCTCACACTGCTGGTGGGTTCCATTTTGTCATAGGGTGCTGGCAGATTACGGGCCTCCCATTGCTGCTGCCAGGCCCGTAATCTGCCATGGGCCCCTGTACCGCCTCCTCATGCTGCTGCCAGGTCCAGAGTGTGTCATGGGTCCCTGTACGGCCTCCCATTGCTGCTGTCTCCATCGCCACACTCTGCCATGTGCCACTTTCAGGTCTCCTCACACTGCTGGTGGGTTCCATTTTGTCATAGGGTGCTGGCAGATTACGGGCCTCCCATTGCTGCTGCCAGGCCCGTAATCTGCCATGGGCCCCCGTACCGCCTCCTCATGCTGCTGCTGCCAGGCCCAGAGTAATCTGTCATGGGTCCCTGTACGGCCTCCCATTGCTGCTGTCTCCATCGCCACACTCTGCCATGTGCCACTTTCAGGTCTCCTCACACTGCTGGTGGGTTCCATTTTGTCATAGGGTGCTGGCAGATTACGGGCCTCCCATTGCTGCTGCCAGGCCCGTAATCTGCCATGGGCCCCCGTACCGCCTCCTCATGCTGCTGCCAGGTCCAGAGTGTCTCATGGGTCCCTGTACGGCCTCCCATTGCTGCTGTCTCCATCGCCACACTCTGCCATGTGCCACTTTCAGGTCTCCTCACACTGCTGGTGGGTTCCATTTTGTCATAGGGTGCTGGCAGATTACGGGCCTCCCATTGCTGCTGCCAGGCCCGTAATCTGCCATGGGCCCCTGTACCGCCTCCTCATGCTGCTGCCAGGTCCAGAGTGTCTCATGGGTCCCTGTACGGCCTCCCCCATGCTGCTGTCTCCATCGCCACACTCTGCCATGTGCCACTTTCAGGTCTCCTCACACTGCTGGTGGGTTCCATTTTGTCATAGGGTGCTGGCAGATTACGGGCCTCCCATTGCTGCTGCCAGGCCCGTAATCTGCCATGGGCCCCTGTACCGCCTCCTCATGCTGCTGCCAGGTCCAGAGTGTGTCATGGGTCCCTGTACGGCCTCCCATTGCTGCTGTCTCCATCGCCACACTCTGCCATGTGCCACTTTCAGGTCTCCTCACACTGCTGGTGGGTTCCATTTTGTCATAGGGTGCTGGCAGATTACGGGCCTCCCATTGCTGCTGCCAGGCCCGTAATCTGCCATGGGCCCCTGTACCGCCTCCTCATGCTGCTGCCAGGTCCAGAGTGTGTCATCGGTCCCTGTACGGCCTCCCATTGCTGCTGTCTCCATCGCCACACTCTGCCATGTGCCACTTTCAGGTCTCCTCACACTGCTGGTGGGTTCCATTTTGTCATAGGTGCTGGCAGATTACGGGCTCCCATTGCTGCTGCCAGGCCCGTAATCTGCCATGGGCCCCTGTACCGCCTCCTCATGCTGCTGCCAGGTCCCGTAATCTGTCATGGGTCCCTGTACGGCCTCCCATTGCTGCTGTCTCCATCGCCACACTCTGCCATGTGCCACTTTCAGGTCTCCTCACACTGCTGGTGGGTTCCATTTTGTCATAGGGTGCTGGCAGATTACGGGCCTCCCATTGCTGCTGCTGCAGGCCCGTAATCTGCCATGGGCCCCTGTACCACCTCCTCATGCTGCTGCCAGGTCCAGAGTGTGTCATGGGTCCCTGTACGGCCTCCCATTGCTGCTGTCTCCATCGCCACACTCTGCCATGTGCCACTTTCAGGTCTCCTCACACTGCTGGTGGGTTCCATTTTGTCATAGGGTGCTGGCAGATTACGGGCCTCCCATTGCTGCTGCCAGGCCCGTAATCTGTCATGGGCCCCTGTACCGCCTCCTCATGCTGCTGCAGGTCCCGTAGTCTGTCATGGGTCCCTGTACGGCCTCCCATTGCTGCTGTCTCCATCGCCACACTCTGCCATGTGCCACTTTCAGGTCTCCTCACACTGCTGGTGGGTTCCATTTTGTCATAGGGTGCTGGCAGATTACGGGCCTCCCATTGCTGCTGCCAGGCCCGTAATCTGCCATGGGCCCCGTACCGACTCCTCATGCTGTGACTTTGCAACAAGGTGGAATTCAACCCTACATATGTTAGACCGCCTTTACGAACAGCGAAAGGCCATCACCGATTTCCTGATGTTACAAGCGGATAAAGGTACTCCCCTGTGTAACTTAGATGTCAGCCATTGGCAGCTCATGCGTGACACCTGCCGCTTGCTCAGGCCCTGTGAGGAGGCCACGCTATTCGTGAGTCGGCAGGACTATGGGATGAACGACGTCATTCCTCTGTTGCACGTCCTGGAACAAATGCTGTTAACAATGGCTGGTCAGGGTGCGGTAGACGTGGCGCACAGATCTCAACGCCACATGACCCCTGTGGGGGCAGGACAGGAAGAAGAGGAGGAGGTAGAGGAGGACATTGGTGCTCAGGAATTATTGAGTGAAATGGGTGGTTTTTCCACTCAGCGGACAGGAGTGGGGAGCAGGAGCATCTGGTAGAGGAGGAGGAGGAGACAGAGGACCCAGACGCACCGTGGCAGTATGCTGGAGATGGAGGCAGGGAGTCCCTCGCATTCTTGGCACAAATGGCCCATAGCATGCTCGGTTGCTTGCGTAGCGACAGCCGAATAATAACCATCAGACAGAGGGATGACTTTTGGCTGTCCACCTTGTTGGACCCTCGCTACCGTTCAAAAATGGTGGCCTTTTTCACACCTGCTGAGAGGAGGCCAAAATAACGTACTATAAAAACCACCTATGTAGTCAGTTGGTCTCTGCCTTTCTGCGCCAACGTCCATCCTCAGACACTGTGGGCCCTGTGCGCGCTCGCGTTCCGCTGCCATGGCAGCAGGGGAGGGGTGGGGTGGTAGGAGCAGTGGCAGCTCCACCAGCAGCGGCTGCCTCAGTCTGCAGTCGATGAGTAGTAGCTTTCTTCACCAGCGCAGTGAGGAAACTACTAACCAGCCGCAGCAGCAGCAGCATCAGGTGGACCTGGAGCAGGACCTCAAACAACAGGCTTGGGCCTACTTGGACAGCACCCTGCCAACCGAGGTAGACAATCCCCTTGACTACTGGGCAACGAAACTTGACCTTTGGCCCCAACTAGCTGAATTTGCCCTTGAAAGGCTGTCATGCCCGGCCAGTAGCGTGGCATCGGAGCGCGTGTTTAGTGCGGCAGGAGGTATTGTAACTCCGCGGAGGACACGACTGTCCACCCAAAGTGTGGAGAGACTCACGTTTGTGAAAATGAATCAGGCGTGGATTAGTCTGGATTTCAAACCACCAGTTCCTGACACAACTGACTAAATCCGCCATGAATCATGCCCCAAACATGTTATTATTTTTAACATAGGCCTGTATGGCCTTCAATTTAAGCTGCTTACGCTTCGCCACTCTGCCATGGGCCCCCGTACCGCCTCCTCTCTGCTGCTGCCAGGTCCAGAGTGTCTCATGGGTCCCTGTACGGCCTCCCATTGCTGCTGTCTCTATCGCCACACTCTGCCATGTGCCACTTTCAGGTCTCTCACACTGCTGGTGGGTTCCATTTTGTCATAGGGTGCTGGCAGATTACGGGCCTCCCATTGCTGCTGCCAGGCCCGTAATCTGCCATGGGCCCCCGTACCGCCTCCTCATGCTGCTGCCAGGTCCAGAGTGTGTCATGGGTCCCTGTACGGCCTCCCATTGCTGCTGTCTCCATCGCCACACTCTGCCATGTGCCACTTTCAGGTCTCCTCACACTGCTGGTGGGTTCCATTTTGTCATAGGGTGCTGGCAGATTACGGGCCTCCCATTGCTGCTGCCAGGCCCGTAATCTGCCATGGGCCCCCGTACCGCCTCCTCATGCTGCTGCCAGGTCCAGAGTGTCTCATGGGTCCGTACGGCCTCCCATTGCTGCTGTCTCCATCGCCACACTCTGCCATGTGCCACTTTCAGGTCTCCTCACACTGCTGGTGGGTTCCATTTTGTCATAGGGTGCTGGCAGATTACGGGCCTCCCATTGCTGCTGCCAGGCCCGTAATCTGCCATGGGCCGCCGTACCGCCTCCTCATGCTGCTGCCAGGTCCAGAGTGTCTCATGGGTCCCTGTACGGCCTCCCATTGCTGCTGTCTCCATCGCAACACTGTGCCATGTGCCACTTTCAGGTCTCCTCACACTGCTGGTGGGTTCCATTTTGTCATAGGGTGCTGGCAGATTACGGGCCTCCCATTGCTGCTGCCAGGCCCGTAATCTGCCATGGGCCCCCGTACCGCCTCCTCATGCTGCTGCCAGGTCCAGAGTGTGTCATGGGTCCCTGTACGGCCTCCCATTGCTGCTGTCTACATCGCCACACTCTGCCATGTGCCACTTTCAGGTCTCCTCACACTGCTGGTGGGTTCCATTTTGTCATAGGGTGCTGGCAGATTACGGGCCTCCCATTGCTGCTGCCAGGCCCGTAATCTGCCATGGGCCCCCGTACCGCCTCCTCATGCTGCTGCCAGGTCCAGAGTGTCTCATGGGTCCCTGTACAGCCCCCCATTGCTGCTGTCTCCATCGCAACACTGTGCCATGTGCCACTTTCAGGTCTCCTCACACTGCTGGTGGGTTCCATTTTGTCATAGGGTGCTGGCAGATTACAGGCCTCCCCATTGCTGCTGCCAGGCCCGTAATCTGCCATGGGCCCCGTACCGCCTCCTCATGCTGCTGCCAGGTCCAGAGTGTGTCATGGGTCCCTGTACGGCCTCCCATTGCTGCTGTCTCCATCGCCACACTCTGCCATGTGCCACTTTCAGGTCTCCTCACACTGCTGGTGGGTTCCATTTTGTCATAGGGTGCTGTATGGCCTCCCATTGCTGCTGCCTCCACCCACCGCCACACTGTGGCTCCACACTCTGGTTTTGGCCCCGTGACTGCCCAAATGAGTGAAGTGTGCGGTGATTCTAAGATCGACGGCACTCATCTGCATGTCATACTGACTGCAGTATTATTTCTCTTCCCCAGCAGACTCCAAGGGCATTTAAATTAAAGGTACAGTGTTCTGCACTAATATAAAGGCTCTCTGAAGCCTAGAAACACCCTTTTTATAAGTTAAATTCGCAGCGAATATATTCGACTCAAATCGAATTTATTCCGCGAATTCGCCGAATCAGCCGAATCGAATTTTTGAATACTTCGCTCATCTCTACCAATGAGCATTAAAACAAAATAATCAGAATGAAAGGCGCATGTGATGGACTCTACTAAAAGGTGGTTGATGTAGAGAAAACTCATCTACTCCACACCTTAGCAAATTTAGGAGGTTCCCCACTGTTGGAATAAGTTGCCCTATAGAGAGAAGAGCCTTGTTCACCAACAATTTCCAAGTAAGTAACAATAGTGTTCAAGTGTTTTTCCAAGACAGGATACTTAGCTTCCTGGAGGAGGGTGTGGATGGCATTTGTAGGTGCTAGAGAATCTACCATACTCAGAAGACAAACCTCAGTGGAAGGAATTATGGGTATACTGGTGACCAAAGTGATGCAAGCCAGGATTTCTTCCCAATATAACTGAATAACTGGGTATGCCCATAAAATATGTGGGAAATTGGCATACACAGAAGAGCAACACCAGCAAGAAGATGATTGAATACTATAGACCCTTGGAAGTTTAGCTGGAGTGAACTAGATTCTGTGTAGGCCTTTATAATGAATTAGAGGATCCCTGGCTGACACCACTCTGGTATAAAAAAAAAAAAAAAGGGGCCTCCCAGATGTCATTCCAGTCATTCCTATCCAACCTGGAGACATCAGTATACCATGCTGATTACTAGATATATTTAAGTGCCTTTATTCTGATTTGTAAGTCAAGGGTGAAGTTCCTCTTTAATTCTTTCAGACGATTGTCTTTTACTCATCAATGATCTGTCCGGAGCAATTCCAGATAAAGAGTTTGTTTTCTCATCTCAAACATAGTAGCAAAGCATGTTGGACAAGGACATCTTGTGACTGGGTCCTTAGCCTCATCTATAAGGATAATTCAGTATAGATTTTCTATCTTCTGAATCTTTCTCATGGGCTCATATTTTGCTTAATAGACAATCTATCTTTGCTGTGATCATGGAGTAATTATTCAATTTTGATGTTTTGATTGGACAATCACCACAGCAGTCACAATGAGATATTGATGGTAGTAACCGATTACATGAATTCATGACCATTCCTGGAAGATTGGGTGTGTGGCTTAGGGCACTGGAAATCACTGCAACATTTCTTGGCTAATTTAGTTCTTACTAATATAATTTTTAATAAACAGTTATTCCTGTGCTAGGTGATCTCCAGTACAATCAGGCCAACATAAGTGAAGAGGAGCACAGACCCTGTCTGCATCAAGTTTTGTAAAAGAGGAACTCCAAGGAGAAAAAAAACTCTAAAATATATAATCTAAGGGAAATATAAATGTGTAAACACCCCAATATTCATAAATATTTCCAAAATGTCAGGTAATGTTGAACATTGTTATGGAAATTATGTTGAAAGAGAACTAAGGGCTGGGCCCACAGATTCAGAGGGTACACGATGCCACACAGACACAGACAGCAGTTCTTTTACAACAATTACGTTTACTGAACAGTTATAGTGAACAAGTAGTTGAGCATACATAAACAGAATGATAACAGCGCATAACCATACAGTAAGAATAATACTGTAACACTAACCCCGTACTTGCGGACTTTCCCCAATGTCCAGAAAGCAGCCTGGCTGCGCCTGAATGTTCCTGAGCAAGATATAACTTTGGGGTGCACCCTAAGTATTGCACAATACTATTTGTAATCCAAAGGAAAGTGAAGTATGTCTCTTGTAGCTTTCTGGTATATCCAAAATGTCACTGAACACATGTGGTGCGATGTGCTGCGGCAAAGCCTCACTTACAGTTCCTTGGCAGGCTCTTGGTGCTTTTTCCTGATCCACTGGTCCACTCCAGAACCGGACCATACAGTCACTTGTTTACCGGGCTCGTCGCGGTGAAATTTCCGTCGCCAGACTCCACTGTGAGCTGTAAATCCTCTTCCAGGCCCCACACAGATTCTCCAGATGTCCTCAGCATACACCAGCCAGACACAGAACCCCTCTCACTTCCTGCTCTGCACCGGAACTCCTCCCCTTCCCAGAGAGTTTGTGATGCAGTAAATAATTTCCTAATTGCAGCCTCAAACCTGCATTTACAGTTCACTGTGACCCTTCTGAGGGTCCTGCTCGGCCCCTAAATTAGCATTCATTAAACTTTATAAGGTAAATAAGCATTTGTTTTTGTCTTAGTAAACCTCAATGCAAAATCGATTCTTGTACTTTGCTGCCATCTACTGACCAAAGAGCATATTGCAGTTTAACATTGCACATCAGTATTTATCCACGCCCCACACCCTTACAATGTAGCCATTACATTTTCATGCTTTTTCATATAATCCTCTTTTGAGTTTCAATATTATTTAAGATGCTCAAAATGGAAGAAAGATTTTTTCCCTGTAGAAGTGGACTTCAGGGGTTTTGTTGAAATAGCTACAACCAGGGGACCAATCCACCCAACAAGCAATCAAGTCATTCTCAAATGCAGCAGAAAAACAACCATTGGATTTGAGTTAAAAGCAAAAACAACTGGTTTGCAAGATGAGATAAGATAGTATGAGATAGAGGAGAGTGTGCCTGGCATGCCAGGTATCACTGTTGAGGCCTCTGTAGATATAATTCGCTCATTAAAGGAATGTCAAAGAAGGGGGAAAGGTGCCTACCTGATGACCCCAGTGATGTACCTACCCTCCCCTTCCTTTTCACCACACCAATCCCAACATCTAGACTGCAAGCTTACCACTGAAACATCAAGTCTTATTACCTCAACTTGTAAAAGATACTTGTTATGTACTGTTATAAACAATATCCTCCTGAGAATGCTAGCTCCCTGGCTGTCAGCATGTGTAGCAAGTGAAGTCAGAACTGTTGAAATGTATACATGTTCGGGGATATAAACTCTAATAATTGAAGAAAATGGACCAGTATGACAGCCAGGACCTTAGCAGTAGGAATATCACCAACTAGAACTTACATACACTCACTGGCCACTTTATTAGGTACATATTGCTAGTACCAAAAAATATCCCCCACACCACTACACCACCAGCCTGAACTGTTAATACAAGGCAAGATGGATCCATGCTTTCATGTCATTTACGCCATATTCTGACCCTACCATCTGAATGTCACAGCAACCAATCTGCCCATTCACCTCTGACATCACAAGGCATTTTTGTCCACAAAACTGCCGCTCACTAGATATTTTCTCTTTTTCGGACCATTCTCTGTAAACCTAGAGATGGCTGTGCGTGAAAATCCCAGTAGATCAGCAGTTTTTGAAATGCTCAAACCAGCCTGTGTGGCACCAACAACCATGCCACATTCAAAGTCACTTAAATCCCTTTTCTTCCCCATTCTGATGCTCAGTTTGAACTTCAGTAAGTCATCTTTACCACACTACATGCCTAAATGCATTGAGTTTTCGCCATGTGATTTACTGGTTAGTAATTTGTGTTGCAAGCAATTGAACAGGTGTACCTAATAAAGTGGCCGGTGAGTGTATGTCAAGTCAGGTTTATTTAAATAAGCGTAATATGTGCTAGCAGGACTAGACTGACAATATGGCAGTTTTGGCATTTACAAGAAGGGCTGGCCAGCCTGACAGTATTGGTTTGCTGTTGAGCTTGTTGAAGGTTGTTGTGGGATCACTCTGGAAGCTGCAAAATGACTGAAATAGACACCAGTACTCCAATGGTCTCCACTAGCTTCCAGGTCCTGTATCGAGCAGCTGCCTTGCTGCATTATGAACATAGGTGGTCAGCAACTTGGCATGAGTACCACTCAGAGGATGCGGCCCATTTTCTCAATGAATGCACAGCTTTCTCTGATTAGAAAAGATCGAGAGCCGTCGTTGATGGGTCCCATTGGGACGGAGTCAATACGGCAATATCTGGCAGACTCGGGCCTTCCAGGCCTATCAGATATGGCGGTGGCTTCCTTGGAAGTGCCATTATCAGTGGAGAAGTTAGGGGTGGCCATGTCTCATATGAAAAATAGCAAGGCCCCAGGACCGGATGGCTATTCCTTGCTCTATTACATGGTTCTTTCTCCGCATTTTCTCATGGCCTATAATGGTGTAGGTATGGGGGATGGCCTCCTCCATGACATGCTTTGGGCACATATCACACTGATCCAGAAGGAGGGCAAGGATCCGCTTTATTGTCAAAATTACAGACCTATATCCCTATTGAATGTTGATCTTAAATTATTCACCAATATTTTGGCTATGCAACTGATGGATTCCATTCCAGCCCTCGTTCATGATGACTAGGTGGGCTTTGTCCCCTCAAAAGATGCCAGGGACAAAACAACAAAGGCCATTAATTTGATACGTGTGGCCAAAACCCAGAAGCGGCCAGTGCTATTGCTATCCACTGATCCGGAAAAGGCATTTGACTGGGTTAACTGGACCTTTCTGTGGGAGACTCTGCGACAAATTGGTCTGGGGCAACGGATGATGAGATGGATGCAAGCTATCTACTCACACCCCTCTGCCCAGGTGAAGGTAAATGGCCATCTCCCACACACTCCCCCTTTGCGATCACCAATGGGACCTGTCAGGGATGCCCTCTCTCTCCTTTGATATCAATTTTAACTTTGGAACCATTCTTATGGTGAGAGGAAATTGTGATGTTCAGGGCATCCCTGTCGACTCCTGAATGGCCCCAAAGGTTGCCGCATACGCAGACGATTTTTATTTCTTCTCTCAAATCCCCTGGTATCGCTTCCGAATCTTCTTATGGAACTGAGGGTTTTCGAAAAATCCACCTTGCTCAAAGCAGATTTTCCTTTTAAATGGACTACTGCTCACATTAAGTGTTTAGGTAATTTCCTGTCCGGGAGGGCTGGATGACATTTTTCAGTTGAACTTTCTGCCGATATTGATGGCGATTAGAAAGGATCTCGCGAAATGGCAGGGCGGGTTGTTGTCATGGTTCGGATAATGCA